CCTAATTATCTCCCAAACTATTAATGTTAGGTATGGGACATATGGGATATAAAAGATGTAGAATGAGACGCCGAAGACGACTAAGTAATAAAATATGGGGGGTGCCATTTAAAAAAATGAAGTTATGGTGCTTCCAAATTTCGAAAAGTTAACGTGTCATAGTAAAGTGACCAAACGATCTAGACAGCCGTTCTCGGCACCAAAACATACTCCATCATGTTGTTTAAGCATGTTCTGAATCCTAAATTGATATCTCAAAAATTGAGTGTTCTATGATTTTTTGAACAAATGTCCGCTGGAGCAAATTTTTCTAGAAAAATTCGAATAACTCGACAGTTGCTGGTTCTAATTGCAAAAAGTAAAGTTATTTATAAACCTTCAAAACAAACAAATCCAGATATGTAAAAATATACAGGGTGTTCCATTTAAAAAAATAAAGTAGGTGGCGGTTTCCGGTATAACCGGAAGTGCTAGAAATCTGAAAATATTTTAGATGAAGAGAACGTAATTGATAACACTTAAGCCTGTATTCTCAAATTTTTTGTTTGGCCAGAACCCCAGAAACGTCTAATGACCGGTCTCGCTGAGACACCCTGTATATATGTTAATAGATTTCAATAGATGGCGCTTTTACAAATCTCGCCTGTCACTATTAATGTTAATTTGTAATTTAATTTTAGAATTCCATAAATATTTATTTTTCATCGAAACGGATGCTTTTCGTATCGATCCAATTTTCCACCACATTTTTTTATTTAACTCGTAACTTTTTCTCGTTATTACCAATATATGCACTTTTTGCGCGATCTATTTTTACAATTATTTGGCATTCGGAACTTTTTTACAAAGTACAAATCGATGTATTAATTTCATTTATTTGTTTTTTTTCGTTCCAGTTATGTTATGGTGCAAGTTCTCCGGCTCTGTCGGATCGAAATAGATTTCCAACCCTTTTCAGAACTCATCCTTCGGCAACCGTTCACAATCCCACACGAATAAAGTTAATGAAGAAATTCGGTTGGTCGAGAGTTGCGATTTTACAACAAGCGGAAGAAGTTTTTATATCGACCGTTGAAGATTTAGAAGCGAGATGTAGCGAAGCTGGAATAGAAATTATCACGAGACAGTCGTTTCTATCGGATCCAGCCGATGCCGTTCGTAATTTACGAAGACAGGATGCTCGAATTATCGTTGGACTTTTTTATGTTGTCGCCGCGAGGAGAGTTCTTTGCGAAGTTTACAATCAAAAATTGTACGGGAAATCTTACGTGTGGTTTTTTATTGGTTGGTATGAAGATAATTGGTTTGAATTTCGCCCGAAAAATGAAGAATTAAATTGTACTATTGATAACATGAGGGAAGCGGCTGAGGGGCATTTAACAACGGAGGCTATTATGTGGAACCAAAATAAAGAGGAAAGAACGATTTCTGGTATGACGATAGTCGATTTTCAAACGAGATTAGACGATATCTTAGAAGTAAAGTATCCTGATATAAAGAAGAAGAGATATCCGGAAGGATACCAAGAAGCTCCTTTAGCTTATGATGCGGTTTGGGCCGTTGCTTTAGCGTTTAATAAAACTATGGATCGATTACATAAATACGGAAAAAGATTAACTGAATTCAATTATAATAATAAAGAAATTGCGGGGGAAATTTATTCATCGATTAACTCAACGCAATTTTTAGGCATATCGGTTAGTTCCCACAATAAGCATATTTTTATTTTTAACTTCTAACTTCTAATCTTCTTTTTTTAAGGGTTTCGTTGCCTTTAATTCTGAAGGCGATCGTATCGCCTTAACTCAAATAGAACAGGTGATAAATGGAAGTTACAAGCAGTTGGGGTTTTACGACACTCAAGCTGATAACTTAACGTGGTTTGATGTTGAAGTTTGGAATGGTAAGTTTTTGTGTCATCATAATCTTTACAAAAAATCCTTTAAAATGAATCCAAACACGACCTATTTTGCTATTAAACTTTCCAAGATATCAATTTTATATTTTTGTATAAAATCCAAGATGGCCGAAAATAAATAATTCACGAATATTACGATAGATAATTTAAAAAGGCGTAAAATGAGTCCAAACTCGACACATCTAGGTGGTCTAACACCCGAGATATCTTTGTTTTTAAAAATAAAGATGGCCGAAAACAAAACACTAATTAATTATGTCATTTATGATTTTAGAAGTGAATTTTATGATAGATATAAAGTGTAATATATCAAATTAGGATAGAATTTTCTGATTTTTACAAAAATATTATTATTTTTTATGTTTTTGAAATTTAAAAGAATCCAAGATGGCCGAAAATAAATAATGTGTGTATATTACGGTAAATAATTGAAAAATACGTAAAATGAGTCCAAACTCGACATATCTAGGTATTACAACTCCGGAGATAACCTTGTTTTTAATAATCAAGATGGCCGAAAACAAAACACTAATTAATTACGTCATTTATGATTTTAGAAGTGAAGTTTATAATAGATATAAAGTGTAATATATCAAATTAGGGTAGAATTTTCTGATTTTTACAAAAATATTATTATTTTTTTATGTTTTTGAAATTTAAAAAAATCCAAGATGGCCGAAAATAAATAATGTGTGTATATTACGGTAAATAATTGAAAAATACGTAAAATGAGTCCAAACTCGACATATCTAGGTGTTACAACTCCCGAGATAACCTTGTTTTTAAAAATCAAGATGGCCGAAAACAAAACACTAATTAATTACGTTATTTATGATTTTAGAAGTGAAGTTTATAATAAATATAAAGTGTAATATATCAAATTAGGGTAGAATTTTCTGATTTTTACCTAAATATTATTATTTTTTTATGTTTTTGAAATTTAAAAAAATCCAAGATGGCCGAAAATAAATAATGTGTGTATATTACGGTAAATAATTGAAAAATACGTAAAATGAGTCCAAACTCGACATATCTAGGTGTTACAACTCCCGAGATAACCTTGTTTTTAAAAATCAAGATGGCCGAAAACAAAACACTAATTAATTACGTTATTTATGATTTTAGAAGTGAAGTTTATAATAAATATAAAGTGTAATATATCAAATTAGGGTAGAATTTTCTGATTTTTACCTAAATATTATTATTTTTTTATGTTTTTGAAATTTAAAAAAATCCAAGGTGGCCGAAAATAAATAATGTGTGTATATTACGGTAAATAATTGAAAAATACGTAAAATGAGTCCAAACTCGACATATCTAGGTGTTATAACACCCGAGATAACTTTGTTTTTAAAAATCAAGATGGCCGAAAACAAAACACTAATCAATTATGTCATTTATTCTTTTAGAAGTGAATTTTATGATAGATATAAAGTGTGGTATATCAAATTAGGTTAGAATTTTCCGATCTTTACAAAAATCGTACTATTTTTTATATTTTTTATATTTTTTATATTTTTTAAATTTTATAAAATCTAAGATGGCCGAAAATAAATAATGCGTGGATATTACGGTGGTTAATTAAAAAACGCGTAAAATGAGTTCAAACTCGACCTATCTATGTGTTATAATACCAGAGATATCTTTGTTTTTAAAAATCAAGATGGCCGAAAACAAAACACTAATTAATTACGTCATTTATGATTTTAGAAGTGAATTTTATGATAGATATAAAGTGTGATATATCAAATTAAGTTAGAATTTTCCGATCTTTACAAAAATCGTATTATTTTTTAAATTTTATAAAATCCAAGATGGCCGAAAATAAATAATGCTTGGATATTACGGTGGTTAATTAAAAAACGCGTAAAATGAGTTCAAACTGGACCTATCTATGTGTTATAACACCAGAGATACCTTTGTTTTTAAAAATCAAGATGGCTGAAAACAAAACACTAATTAATTATGTCATTTATGATTTTAGAAGTGAATTTTATGATAGATATAAAGTGTAATATATCAAATTAGGTTAGAATTTTCCGATCTTTACAAAAATCATATTATTTTTTATATTTTTTAAATTTTATAAAATCCAAGATGGCCGAAAATAAATAATGCGTGGATATTACGGTGGTTAATTACAAAACTCGTAAAATGAGTTCAAACTCGACCTATCTATGTGTTATAACACCAGAGATACCTTTGTTTTTAAAAATCAAGATGGCTGAAAACAAAACACTAATTAATTATGTCATTTATGATTTTAGAAGTGAATTTTATGATAGATATAAAGTGTGATATATCAAATTAGGTTAAAATTTTCCGATCTTTACAAAAATCCTATTATTTTTTTTGTTTTTTAAATTTTATAAAATCCAAGATAGCCGAAAATAAATAATGCATATATAAACGCGTAAAATAAGTCCAAACTCGACCTATCTATGTATTATAAGTTGTTATAACACTCGAAATATCTTTGTTTTTAAAAATCAAGATGGCCGAAAACAAAACACTAATCAATTATGTCATTTATTAAAGTTTTAAAAGTGAATTGTATGATAGATATAGAGTGTGATATATGAAATTAGGTTAATATTTTCTGACCTCTCCAAAAATCGTATTCTTATTAATGTTTTTGAAAATTTATGTTAATAAAAATAAATAATTTTAATTAATTTTTAGGTGGAAAAGTGCCTCAAGATAGAACAATCATAAAACGCGTACTTAGAACGGTATCTCTACCGCTTTTTATATGTATGTGTTCCCTTNCCAAAAATCATATTCTTATTAATGTTTTTGAAAATGTATGTTAATAAAAATAAATAATTTGAATTAATTTTTAGGTGGAAAAGTGCCTCAAGATAGAACAATCATAAAACGCGTACTTAGAACGGTATCTCTACCGCTTTTTATATGTATGTGTTCCCTTTCTAGCATAGGAATCTTCGTAGCGATAGGGTTAATCATATTTAACCTTTGGAATAAGCACAGAAGGTAAAAAAAAATAATCAAAATTAATTAAATTAGCTTTTAATTATTTTTTTTTTGTGTAGAGTGATACAATCATCACATCCAGTATGCAACACGATAATGTTAATTGGAATAATCGTCTGTTTGGCCAGCATATTTCTACTCGGTTTAGATGGAAACTTCGTGTCACCCGATTCTTATCCTTCCGTGTGTCAAGCTCGCGCCTGGTTATTAACGACAGGATTCACCCTTTCTTACGGCGCGATGTTCAGCAAAGTGTGGCGCGTTCACCGATTAACGACGAAAGCGAAAAGTGACCCAAAAGTACGAACGAGAAAAGTCGAACCGTGGAAACTTTACTCGATGGTGACGGGTCTTTTGGTTGTCGATTTCGTTATCCTTTTAGTTTGGCAACTTCAAGACCCCTTACAAAGGAAGTTGGAGATGTTCCCGTCGGAGCAACCCACCAATTCAGCCGACGATTTTAAATTGAGCCCGGAATTAGAACATTGTGAAAGTGATCATAACAATATTTGGTTGGGCGTTATGTATGGATATAAAGGATTAGTTTTGGTGAGATTCATTTGATACGAAAAGGGGGTGTCAAAAGTTAAAAGCGTTTTGATTCATTTTTAGGTCTTTGGGTTGTTTTTAGCGTACGAAACTCGCTCATTAAAAGTAAAGCAAATCAACGATTCGAGATACGTGGGGATGAGCATTTACAACGTCGTTGTTCTTTGTTTAATTACGGCTCCCGTTACGATGGTTATCGCGAGCCAACAAGACGCTAGTTACACTTTTGTTGCTTTGGCGATCATTTTTTGTTGTTTTTTGAGTATGGCTTTGATTTTTGTGCCGAAGGTAAATAATAAGGAATTATCGATTGTTGGTTATGATTAATTTAAAAATTGCGTGTAGGTAATCGAAGTTGTGCGTCATCCTAGGGATAAAGCCGAAAGTAAATATAACCCGGACGCTGGTGTTTCGAAAGAGGAGGAGGAAAAATACCAGAAACTCGTCACGGAAAACGAAGAACTTCAACGATTAATAGCTCAAGTACAGTAATATATAGATATAACGAACTTCGGATATAACGGACTAATCATTTTTAAGTCATACTATTAATACAGTTTACTGTATTATCTATTTAATACATCAGTATATTTAAATATAAAAAATATTGGTGCTCATACAAAGAATCCAACTCGGGTTATTCCTCAAATTGCTCTATTCCATGTTTATAAATAAACTCAGGGTTAAGTTAGGTTGGAAGAGAGCGGTTATACAGGATGAGGCATTTTTCAAAAAAATTTTATTTACAGAATAGTACTCAAATGATTATATTTTACAAAATTAATGCTTGAAAACAACATCTTTCAAGTGACGGCCGTTGCAAGTCGCTCTCCAACGTTACTCAGTCGATTTGAATAACTCTAACCTTTATTTTTTCAAGAGTACGTGGATTAAACTAGTATACACGTGACTTGAGGTAACCCCACAAAAAGTGGTCTCTCAATAACGACACTTCTGCCAATTTACCATGCCGTTCAATTGAAATTGTCATTTTGCTTAAGTATGGCCTACATTTCTAAAGCAAAATTTAGACTAACCAAAATGGTAGGAGACACCAATGATGTTAGCACATAAATCTCCACCAATCCTATAGTCTGTTTTTAAACTAGGAGGAGTGAATCCGAAAGTCAGATTTACACTAGGAAATATCACCAGAAAATATCACTATGACAAATAAAAATATATGAATTGACAATAATGACACGAAACTGTCAAATGATCAATAACTTAACCGTCAAATTCAAAATCAAAATTGCCTGTGTGAACTTTCTTCGCATTCAACCAATCACGTGCAAGGTCAATCCAGTAAGAAATTTAAAATGCTCCTCCTAGTTTAAAAACAGACTATAGTATCTGACCCTGAATACTATTTGTTTTAAAAACGTCCGTCCGTTCTGCCCCACCCTGTATACAGGGTGATTCATTAGCTCTATGACAAACTTTGGCAGATGAAATTTTACACAGTTTAATAGGCAATGAAAATGTAACATAAAAAATAAGTTTAAAATTACAAAAATTGTTCGAAATGACGACGAAGTAAAGATTTGCAACAATAATTATGAAACACAAATACAGAGTTGGCTGTGATAACAAAACTGAGTTCTTTATGTCAAACATTTCAATTTACTCTATTCTGTGTGTTTCAAAGTTTATAATTGTCAGAGTTTTGATCGAAAACGAAAATGCATGTATTTACGACTGAAGAATATGCAGATATTATTTTTGTATACGGGCTTTGTAACGGAAACGCTCGGCAAGCAGCAAGAGAATACCTTCGTAGGTTTCCAAATAGACATCAACCTGCCCATACAGTGTTTAGTGCATCATTTCGCAGACTGAGAGAAACAGGTAACCCCGCTCCACTACATTCCGTTCGTCCCCATGATGTGAATGTACAAAATGAAGAACGTGTTATTGATTTAGTACTTGACGACCCTTCAATTAGTACTCGGCGTATAGCGAGCATGTTACAAATATCCCAAAGTTTTGTATGGCGTGTATTGAATCGAGAAATGTTACATCCGTTTCATCGCCAAAATGTTCAAGCATTACATCCTGGAGATACTGAGCAACGCTTAGCATTTTGCCACTGGATTATTCAGCAACATGCTCAAAATAATAACTTCATTTCCCAAGTTCTGTGGTCTGATGAAGCGTGTTTCACTAGGGACGGCATAAATAATTATCATAACGAACATGTGTGGTCCTTGCAAAATCCACATGCAATTAGACCAGGAAGATTTCAGCAACGGTTTAGTGTAAACGTTTGGGGTGGCATTTTTAACAATTCTTTGCTACCTGTATGGGTGATAAATGAACGCTTAAATGCAAATATGTACAGAAATTTCTTGGGACATAACCTTTTCGATTTTATCGACGACGTACCACTTAACATCGTTCAAAATATGTGGTATCAGCACGATGGTGCACCACCACATCGAGGAAGAGAAGTCATCGCTTGGTTACATGAACATTTTCCAAACAAATGGATTGGCAATGGAGGTCCAGTAGTCTGGCCACCACGATCCCCAGATCTAAATCCGCTGGATTATTATTTCTGGGGACACATGAAGCAGCTTGTGTACCATGTAGAAATTACTACCCGTCAGCAACTACTGGACAGAATTCAAGATGCAGCTAATAGCATACGGAATGATCCAAATATCATACGTCGTGTGATAGAATCTTTACTTCGTCGATGTGAGGCGTGCATTCAAGCTGAAGGCGGACATTTCGAACAATTTTTGTAATTTTTAAACTTATTTTTTATGTTACATTTTCATTTGCCTATTAAACTGTGTAAAATTTTCAAAGGCTTGTAACTCTTTAACCAAAATGAATCGGACCCATATTCATATAACATTTTTTCGTTAGAATCGCATCACCTTTCATCTGCCAAAGTTTGTCATAGAGCTAATGAATCACCCTGTATATCTATGCATCTCAGAGCAAAAGTGCAAGAAAGCAACATTGTTCAGAATAAAATTTGCTACAACTATTGTTCTAAAAGTTGTGTTGTAACATGCTCTGTTTCCCGAGTGTTATCACGTTATCATTAACAGCTTGAAAAACTAACAAATTTATCAAATTTTCGTATTTTTCTCGATGTCGAGGCATCTGAGAGCAAAAATACAAGAGAGCAATATTATTAAGAATAAAATTTGCTACAACTGTTCTTCTAAAACTTTTTTTGTAACATGCTCCGATTTCCAAGTGCTACCATTAATAACTTGTAGAATAACGAAGTTCACCAAATTTTCATATTTTCGTGTTTATCTCGATATCCATGCATCTGAGAGCAAAGGTGCAAGAAAGCAATATTGTTAAGAATAAAATTTACTACAACTATTGTTCTAAAAGTTGTTTTGTAACATGTTCCGATTTCCAAGTGCTATCATTAATAACTTGTAGAATAATGAAATTCACCAAATTTTCATATTTTCGTGTTTATCTCGATATCCATGCATCTGAGAGCAACAATGCAAGAAAGCAATATTGTTCAGAATAAAATTTGCTACAACTATTGTTCTAAAAGTTGTGTTGTACCATACTTTGATTTCCAAATATCACCATTAATAACTTGTAGAGCAATGAAATTCACCAAATTTTTAGATGTTCGTCTTTATCTCGATATCCATGCATCTGAGAGCAAAAGTGCAAGAGAGCAATATTGTTCTAAAAGTTGTTTTCTAACATGCTCCGATTTCCAAATGCTACCATTAATAAGTTGTAGAATAATGAAATTCACCAAATTTTCATATTTTCGTGTTTATCTCGATATGCGCTTATCTGAGAGCAAAAGTGCAAGAAAGCAATATTGTTGAGAATAAAATTTGCCATAACTTTTGTTCTAAAAGATTTTTTGTATTGTGCTGTGTTCCCCAAGTGTTACCATAGCAACATGAAAAAGCACCAAATTCATCAAATTCTCACATTTTTTTATTTTTCTCAATATTGACGCATCGAAGAGCAAAAGTGCAAGAGAGCAATATTGTTAAGAATAAAATTTGCTACAACTATTGTTCTAAACGTTGTTTTGTAACATGCTCCGATTTCCAAGTGCTACCATTCATTAATAACTTGTAGAATAACGAAATTCACCAAATTTTTAGATGTTCATCTTTATCTCGATATCCATGCATCTGAGAGCAAAAATGCAAGAAAGCAATATTGTTCAGAATAAAATTTACTACAACTTTTGTTCTAAAAGTTGTTTTGTAACATGCCCCGATTCCCGAATGTTACCATTAATATGTAGTAAAACAACGAAATTCGTCATATTTTCATATTTTCGTGTTTATCTCGATATCCATGCATGCAAAAATGTAAGAAAGCAATATTGTTTAGAATAAAATTTGCTACAACTTTTGTTCTAAAAGTTGCTTTGTAACACTCCCCGATTCCTGAGTGTTACCATTAATAAGTAGTAAAACAACGAAATTCGTCAAATTTTCATATTTTCGTGTTTATCTCGATATCCATGCATCTGAGAGCAAAAATACAAGAGAGCAATATTGTTAAGAATAAAATTTGCTACAACTATTGTTCTAAAAGTTGTGTTGTACCATACTTTGATTTCCAAATGTCACCATTAACAACTTGTAGAGCAATGAAATTCACAAAATTTTTAGATGTTTGTCTTTATCTCGATATCCATGCATCTGAGAGCAAAAATGCAAGAAAGCAATATTGTTCAGAATAAAATGTGCTACAACTTTTGTTCTAAAAGTTGTTTTGTAACATGCCCCGATTCCCGAGTGTTACCATTAATAAGTAGTAAAACAACGAAATTCGTCAAATTTTCATATTTTCGTCTTTATTTCGATATCCATGCATCAGAGAGCAAAAATACAAGAGAGCAATATTGTTAAGAATAAAATTTACTACAACTTTTGTTCTAAAAGTTGTTTTGTAACATGCCCCGATTTCCAAGTGCTACCATTAATAACTTGTAGAATAACGAAATTCACCAAATTTTCATATTTTCGTATTTATCTCGATATCCATGCATCTGAGAGCAAAAGTGCAAGAAAGCAATATTGTTGAGAATAAAATTTGCCACAACTTTTGTTCTAATAGGTTTTTTGTAACATCATCTGTTTCTCGAGTGTTATCATTAACAACTTGATCTAGTGTTAGTTCTAGTTTTAATTGTTATTCAGCGATGACGTCACTATCGGGCCTTCGAGCTGTGCACCTGTTTTCGATACGTCCTTGATATAAATAGACTGAACGTAACGGTGTGGATATCTATCCGAATTTGTTGTGTTGTGTATTAAATTTATTTATTTAAACAGCTTAAAGTGCCTCTCTTCCCCGTGTTACATTACATTACATAAATTATATATCGGATAGATCGGCAGTGCCCATTAGAACTAATGCTGCTACAAGCAAGTTCTAAAATATTCCTGGGTTTGACAGTGACGATGTTGATAAACAACTTAGCGTCTCCATTCCAGGATAATCTAGCTTCTCCATATTAGTCCGTTATATCGAGGTTTTGTAACTGTATTATAATAATTTAAGGGTATCAATTAAAAGTAAATTTTTTTTTGGAATAGAAAGAAGAAAAAATTAAGTTATTGAAGGATCGCTTGGCTGAAAGAGAAGTTCCAGCTGGGAAAAGCGGCATTTTTTTGGCTCCTCCACCAACGATAACACAAGGTAAGGAGATCACCGTAGTTGCTGACTTTATCACAGACGCTGGCACTTCCGATTCCGCTTTTGGAGGGGGCGTTTCAACGTACACCCGATCAAGCAGGGCGAGTCAATCGGATATTGAATTTAGCGAAAGCTACTTATAAATTAAAAAAATAAGTCAATTAAAAAAAATCAAGAATTAAATAAAAATTAAGGTTGTATCTTAATTCTAAAAGATAAAAAATATAAGGCGAAAATGGGGGGTTATTTTTAGAAGGGAATTTGACCATCCCGTTGTGCCTTAAAAAAAAAGCAAACGAAAATTGCTGATTAAATTTCAACGTTCTGATTTTGAGGAATAAATTAAAACATATCTATTAAAGTAGAAATTGATAAAGTGTTCCTAAAATTTTAAATCAGTTAATTAAAAGAAATCAACCCCTTTCTCTTTTAAAACAAACCCCTCCAGGTTTTGCGATGGTTAAAAAGAGCGCACAATTACACTTTAAATCAAAAAGAAATCACGAAATCACTTTTTTTTTTGATTTTTTTTAGTTAGTTGTTTTAATTTGTTATTTTTTTTATTTTTTAGAGACTTTTTAGAGTCATATCTCGTTATAACATAAGGACACGACGGTTATTTTAATTAAAAAAGAATTCTGTAATTGAAAAAAGAATAAGACCTCCCAAAAATTTATGTTCTAACGAGATTTTACTTTTAATTAATTATTAACAATAAATGTTTAGTAGTTTATTTGGGAGTGATCTTCTTCTTTTTTTTTTTTTGGCAGATGTACACGACGAGCACGTGTAGAACGTGTAAAAAGAAGTTTTTTTGGGAAAAAAATCGACGAGAGGCGACGGTGTAGAGTTACTATTATCTTAGTAAATCATAATCTCGTCCCCATAACATTTTAGTTCGCTCTTAAATTTAAATTAAAAAGAAATTAAAAAGAAATCGTCAATTTCATTTTTGATACACGTCAAACTTAGAAGATTTTTATTTCTCCCATTAATTATAATTAATTAATTAATTAATAAAAAAAAGAAATAAAAATCTTCCAAGTAAAATTAAACGAGCTCAAACGTTTTTTGGATAAAAATTGCTCACAAAAACGAAAGTAATAATAATAGATTAAAGAAAAAGAAAAAAATTTGGATGCCGAAAAAAAATAAAATAAAAAAAAATTAAAACGTAAGTAAAGTTTTAGGGCAAGCGTGGAATTACAATTCTAAATGTTGTGATAGCGATTCTAGTGATATTTTATTATTTTTAATTTTTGATGTAGTTACGACGAGATATGACACGAAAACAATAAAAAAAAATAATCTTTTTTGTGTTTCTAATTAATTTTAAAAATAATTTTCTTATTAATAATAATAATAAATAAAATCTATCGTTGTTATTATTATTAAAATAGTCGTTATGAGCACAAAGCCTTCGATAGATAAATCGAAATAGAATTAAACAAAAATTATACTATATTTAAAAACAAAATTAAAAAAAAAAACAAGTCGCATATCTTCTTCTAATCATTTAAAAAACTATTTGTAAATATTGAACTAGAACTAAATGTTTTTTTTAACTAAAAGTGTTGGTTCTACTGCTAATTCGATAAAAATATACTACAACCTAGCGGTGAATAACAATTAAAACTAGAGCTAAGGGTTAGTTAAACTAGTGTTAGTTCTAGTTTACACCAGCACTGTTACTATGTAAAACTAACACTACACCTAGAACTAGAATCATTTATGTTTAGCCGCACGTCTCTAAAGACGGCTAAACCCAAATGATTCTAGTTCTAGGTATAGTGTTAGTTCTAGATTTATACTTGCACTGTCACTAGAACTAACATTAAACCTAGAACTAGAAACATTTGGGTTTAGCCGTCTTTAGAGACTTGCAGCTAAACCCAAATGATTCTAGTTCTTGGTCTAGAACTGCATAATGTAAAACTAGACCTAGTTTTAGTTCTAGTTTTACATCAGCACTATTACTATGTAAAACTAACACTATACCTAAAACTAGAATCATTTGGGTTTAGCCGCACGTCTCTAAAGACGGCTAAACCTGAATGATTCTAGTTCCAGGTATAGTGTTAGTTCTAGTTTTACACTAGCACTGTTATTATGTAAAACTAACACTATACCTAGAACTAGAATCATTTGGGTTTAGCCGCACGTCTCTAAAGACGGCTAAACCCAAATGATTCTAGTTCTAGGTATAGTGTTAGTTCTAGTTTTATACTTGCACTGTCACTAGAACTAACATTAAACCTAGAACTAGAAACATTTGGGTTTAGCCGTCTTTAGAGACTTGCAGCTAAACCCAAATGATTCTAGTTCTTGGTCTAGAACTGCATAATGTAAAACTAGACCTAGTTTTAGTTCTAGTTTTACATCAGCACTATTACTATGTAAAACTAACACTATACCTAAAACTAGAATCATTTGGGTTTAGCCGCACGTCTCTAAAGACGGCTAAACCCGAATGATTCTAGTTCTAGGTATAGTGTTAGTTCTAGTTTTACACTTGCACTGTCACTAGAACTAACATTAAACCTAGAACTAGAAACATTTGGGTTTAGCCGTCTTTAGAGACTTGCAGCTAAACCCAAATGATTCTAGTTCTTGGTCTAGAACTGCATAATGTAAAACTAAACCTAGTTTTAGTTCTAGTTTTACATCAGCACTATTACTATGTAAAACTAACACTATACCTAGAACTATAATCATTTGGGTTTAACCGCACGTCTCCAAAGACGGCTAAACCCAAATGATTCTAGTTCCAGGTATAGTGTTAGTTCTAGTTTTATACTAGCACAGTTATTATGTAAAACTAACACTATACCTAGAACTAGAATCATTTGGGTTTAGCCGCACGTCTCTAAAGACGGCTAAACCCAAATGATTATAGTTCTAGGTATAGTGTTAGTTCTAGTTTTATACTTGCACTGTCACTAGAACTAACATTAAACCTAGAACTAGAAACATTTGGGTTTAGCCGTCTTTAGAGACTTGCAGCTAAACCCAAATGATTCTAGTTCTTGGTCTAGCGCTGCATAATGTAAAACTACACCTAGTGTTAGTTCTAGTTTTACACCAGCACTATTACTATGTAAAACTAACACTATATCTAGAACTAGAATCATTTGGGTTTAACCGCAAGTCTCTAAAGACGGCTAAACCCAAATGATTCTAGTTCTAGGTATACAGGGTGTCTCACGTAACTAGTTCATTAAAACTTTTTCAGGTTCCACTATTCGTAGAGATTTGAATTTTTGGTAGCATGGGTTGTTCATTCGGAACTTTTAATCTAAAATATTTTCAAGATGGGCGCCACTTCCGGTCTACCGAAAGTAGACCATAACTTCACTATTTTAAATGAAATGCTATAGTTTTTATTACACCGTTTAATTGTGGGTGAAAAAATAGGTTTTCTTTGATAAAAGTGATTGGTACCTAGCGTTTTTCGTTTTCGAGTTATTTTGGTTTTAAGCTTTTTTCGGTAACTTTCAACATGCTCTTTAAAACCCCATATCTCAGCCAACGTTCATTCAAAAAAAGATCCAAGTTTGCACGATTACTCTTCAGATGTTGTCAAATAGATTGTCATTTGTTGCATCGGAGTATTTTATATAGGTGGTCAAAAATTGAATTACTGTTTCTCCATATTCAATGGCGAGAAAGTCTAAAATTTTAAATGGAACGCCCTATATTTTTTTAGCCTATCAGAAAGAAAATTTTATTCTCTACAAATTATCTAAAACATTCCCATACCTATTTATTGTAGTTTGCCTCATATTGCGAAATTTATTAAAACTTGAACGAAATGCAGGTTTTTTTATTAGAAAGCTATGGAATTTTGACAGTTTTTGGTCCATGTTTGTATTATTGTTGTCATTAGTTACATTTGACGACGGGTGTGAGTCATTGCAACATCATGCTAAATTATTCCAAAGCCGATATTTGAAATTAATTTTGTATTGATGGCGAATGTAATAAATTTTTGGACAGGACGTGTCGAACACTTAATGAGAGATGCCTAACAAACCTAACGCCCATCACAAGGAAAAATTTCAAAAAGTTGATAAAGCATTTATTTATTTATATATATAATATATTATATATACAGGGTGTCACACAAAAAACGCCCCAAGCTGTAACTCTGTCATTTACATTCCGATTTTCATGAGCGGGTTATCAAATGAAATGGTTTCATGAATTACAATTACAATTAATGTTGATGTATTGTACATTAATGGATTCAGAAAAAAAAACTATCCCATAACGTGAAGAAAAACATACCGAGCAATTTGAAAATCAAAAGTTGATAATCGCTTGAAATCGAAGATGGCGTTGGAAAAAGTTTATTTGTAGCATGAATCATAGCATTCATAAAACCATTTCATTTGTTGCCTCGTTCATAAAAATCGGAAGGTAAATGACAGAGTTACAGCTTACGGCGTTCTTGTGCGACAACCTGTATATACAGGTGTCTTTTTTCTGCTAAAATTACATTCAAAGTGGATGTATTGCACATCAGTGGATTCAGAAAAACAATCTCTATCTAATGACGTGAAGACAAATATATGGAGCAATTTGAAAAACAAAAGTGAATAATCGCTTAAAATTGAAGATGGCCTTGAAAATAATTTATTTGTAGCATGAACCATAGTATTCATCAAACCATTTCATTTGATGCCTCGGTCATGAAAATCGGAATATAAATGACAGAGTTACAGCTTGGGGCGTTTTTTGTGTGACACCCTGTATATATAATATATTATGTAGTTCTGGATATAATATTTTATCGTATTTTATTGCATTTCCAAATTCAATTTAATAACAAATTTATATTATAAATTTATATTTTTATTCAAATCTAATTTTTATCATTAACTTTTTGTTTTAATAGTTTCCTAGTTATTTTTGGTAAGTAAAAACTAGTAAACTAAAAGATTATCAATCGTAGTTAATAGTACAAATAATAATAGAAATAAATTAAACAAAAAAACTGTCAAAATGCCATGGCCTTCTAATAAAAATACAAACGGTTTCCTACATTTCCTGCATGTTTTGATAAATTTACGAATATGAGAGAAACTACAATAAATAGGTATAGGAATGTTTATAGATAAATTGTAGAGAATTAAATTCCCTTTCTTGTAGGTTAATAAAATATGGGGCGTTCCGTTTAAAATTTTCGACTTTCTCCCCATTGAATATAGAGAAACGGTAATTCAATTTTTTGACCATCCTGTATAAGATACTCTGATACAATATATGACAATCTATTTGAGAGCATCTGAAGAGTAATCGTGCCAATTTAGAGCTTCTTTGAATGAACGTTGGCTGGGATATAGGGTTTTAAAGAGCATGGTGAAATTTGCCAAAAAAACCTTAAAATCTAAATAACTCGAAAACGAAAAACGCTAGGTACCAATAACTTTTATGAAAGTCAACATATTTTTTTACGCACAATTAAAAGGTGTCATAAAAACTATAGCATTCCATTTAAAATAACGAAGTTATGGTCTACTTCCGGTAGACCGGAAGTGGCAGCCATCTTGAAAATACTGTAGATCGAAAGTTCCGACTGAACAACCCATACTACCAAAATTTCAAAATTGTACGAATACTGGAACCTAAAAAAGTACTAACGAACCAGTTACGTGAGACACCCTGTATATTGAACTAGAACTAATGTAAGTGTTGTTAAACTAAACGTTTATTAAAACTAAAAGTGTGTAGTGTTAAATATACTACAACCTAGCGGTGAATAACAATTAAAACTAGAACTAACACTAGACCTAGAACTAGAAACATTCTAACACGA